CCTTAGTCAGCTCTTTCAGGGTTTTCTTCTGTGGTCTTTTCCAAACTACATGTGAAACTTTTCCTTTCTATTACCTACTAGGAACTCTCCCATCTCGTCAATTCAAACTCACCTTCTCTCTCATGCTCGTTCCCTTCGGCCTGCTCCCCCAACACAAATGTACACATACCTGTCTCTGCTCTGACAGCACGCCCTCAGGCTCACGCTGCTCCACTCCTCAGGCTTTCCCAGTCCTGATGGTTCTCTCTATAAACACAAGAATAATTTCAAGGCAAGTTACTTAACCTCTTAGAGCCTGTTTTCCCATCTATAAAATAAGGCTATTAATCCCTCAGGATGGAAGAAGGCACAATAAAGAAAAAATAAAGCTGGGCACTCTTTGTAAGTGTGTATGTACGTTTCAAGCATTTCTCTCCAGCTACCACCCTCTCCACATACACATCCCATTTGCAGAGTGCTGGGGGCGGTGGAAGTGTTAAGTGGGCCCTGCTGTTTAGTCACACACAGCAGCCCAAAAACTACGAGATTGTATGAAGTGCCAAACTAAGCTTTGGAGAATTCAGAAAAAGGAGGATGATGTGTCTCATTGGGTTCCTTCAGTTAAATAATGACATGGCCTCTTGAATCTTATTCACCTGTTCTCAGGCCAGTGATCATCTGCCTCTTCTCCCGCTTTCTGTCCATCCAGAGTGCAGACTCCTGGGCGCATAATTCAGTCACTTATGCCCCTGTGGTGCTCATCATTTTGGTCAAGCCAGGTCTTGGCTAGAGCTTGGGTTTGAGTCAAACCTTAGAGAGGAGTCTTTAATGGCAATGGGAAGAAGGCAGGCATGGTCTCAGCTGAGGGGAAACTGAAGGGCCCAAGATTGTGTAGGACCATCCTAGTTGAAAAGGAGTTGGGGAGTTGATTCTGAGGGGGCTTCCTAGATTGCTTACTAAGGTGATTGAGCCCAGGAAGGACAGAATATTTTATTGCCTAGGAGGAGTTCACTGAAAGGTCTAGAGTAAGAAAGATGTCCAAGGCGAGCTGGAAGGGAAGGCAGGTGTCTGAGTGACCCAGTTCATTTGGAGGTGTACCCCAGTTATGTCTAAGATTTGTTGAGTGGACAGGTACAAATGGTGGTGGCTTATTTATTCAGAAAAACAGTACTTTATGTGTGTACTTCTGGTCAAGCTATTACTTCATCCCTCCAGGCCTGACCTTCTTCACCCACCCAGACCTCAGGCTGACAGACTTGGTGACTGGGACCCTGAGCTGAGAATCAAAACCCTGTTCTGTGTTCAGAGCTGTCACAACACTTGGTCTCCACGTACTGTGGCCCTCTGCACCCTAGGCAGAAAACACAAGAGGGTGGCAGGAACGCAAGAAGTGAGGACAGGCCTCCAGCCCTTGTGCTTTGGGAGTTTTAAGCCTTCCTAGCAGGAGGCAAGTCGGAGGTGTCCTAGGGCTAGAAGGGAGAGAAGGTGGGCTAGTAAGCCATTGAGGGTACTCAGGGTGGTGAGGCCACCACCAGGGGGCAATAACGGGGCCGCGGGCCTTGGGGGTGGGGGCGCCAGAGGCCAGAGGGCTGTGTGTGAGCCTTAGCCTTAAAACCATCTGTGTATAGGTTGGGGGGCCTGAAAAGAGAGAGTAATGCCCTTCTCCATACTCCACCCTGTCGGCCCCGCCTCCTTATTCGGTCTTCCAGGCCCCGCCCCACACCCCAGCTCCGCCTCCCCCCGCCCCGCCTCTGACCGCGGCCCCTTCATCCTGCAGCTGGTGCTTTGGGGCCCCGGAGCTGTGCGCCGTGGCTGTCTCTATTGCCCAGGATCAGAGCGCAAAGGTGAGACAGGCAGGGAGTGCGGGCGGCGGTGGCGGCGGCGCTTGGGCTGAGGGACGGAGGCCAGGTTAAGCCTTCCCTACATCCATTCCACCCTCCAAGCTGGGCCAGGCCTTTCTCACCGCCAAGTCCCCCAGTCCCTCGTAAAGGCTGTGGAGGGGCGCGAGCCAGGCCTCTGGCTGCACTGGGCGCAGACCCACCAAGGCGGAGTCGGGGATCAGCACAGGGCGGGGTCCGTGTGGCAAAGTGTTCCCCGAGATCTGGGTCACATCTCCAGGCGTCTGGCGGGATAGAAGGAGAGCTTGTCCTCGAGCTGCAGCAGTAGAGACTGAGGTTAGACCCAAGAAAAGGAGATAACCGGGGAGGAGATGGTGGAGGAAGGAGGTAGTGGGGGAAGGGCTCTCAGGCCAGGAGAGACCACCATCCTACTGGACAGAAGGAGATACCTCCTACACTAAGCAGGTGGATATCTGGGATGAAGGTTGAGAGCCTGCTGATCCTACATTGATCTTGTTGGGGGGATGGGTCACCCCTCCTCAGTCCCCTCTGTCCTAGGATCTGCTTTAGTGGGAAGGTGATAGAGTCCAGGGGGCTGGTTCTGGGGAGAAACCCAAACTGTCGAACCAGGGGTGGAGTGTGGGGTGTGAATTGGAGACCTTGAAGCCTTGTTGCCCCTTAGCCCCGCCCTCTCTCCCAACAGGTTAAATGGGGGCTGAGAGCTTAGGCTCAACTCCCATTATCCCTATTATCTAGAACTGCAGGAAACATGGAGTGACAAGTTACCTGTTCCATTCCATCTTTTCTTTGCTAAAACTAGGGACCTCCTTCCTACCTTGCAAAGCAGCCTTGACCCATGCACCCATCCCATTTGAGCATCTGAGGTCAGAAGCCTCCCCTATCACACAAACACAAACTTGGAATCTGACCTTAGAATTGGGACAATGGGGAGGGAGGTGTGGTTCTGCTCTTAATCTCACCCTCCATGGACACTGGCAGCCTCCAAGCCTGCATTGAGAACTGGACCCCTGTATGTACGTATGCTTGTACATCTGTGTAGATGTAATTGTGTGTGTGAGGACCGTGAACACACATGTACTTGACCCTTCTGTGCATATGATGGTGCCTGACTCACTGTATTAATGAGTTTGTGTGCATGTTCCTCCACCTATGTGACCCTCCAGTGTACAGTCCTTCATATGCACATGCCGATGTCCTTGTCATCCTCTGAGGCTGTGGGACCTGCTGAATGAAAGGACATGTGAATACATATTAACACATGTGATAGGCCTTTTTGGTGAACATGTGTGCACAAACCTTCCTGTGAATGTGTACGCATGCCTCTCTTGTGAGTACATAGGTTCACAGCCCTCCTGTGCTTATGTATGTATGTATGCACCTGTTTGCATGCACATCACCCTCCTCTGGACACATGTGACTCTTGTGTAAACATGTGTGAGTGTGCCATGCACCACACTCTGAGTGGTGCCTCTGACCTGGCCTGTGTTCCTCCTGCCCAATCCCAGGGACTGATTCCTCCTAGCCCGAGGGCTCCCCTCCCCCCTTTGCACTAAGCAAATAAGAGGCCCCAAAGGTAAACAGGTGTGCCTCCATAGTGAGGGGTGGAGCATGGGCAGTTTGCCTGGGGCCTTCTTCTGCCCCAGCCCCTAAACCAGTAGCTGATGCCCTTTCTGTGGTCCAGGGACCCTCTTCTCTCTACTCATACTCCATTCCCCTCCTTTGGGCTCTGCCCACTACAGTGGTGACCTTTACCTCCTGAATAAATACCCCAAATTCCTGTTTTCCCTCTGGCCAGCTTCTGGTCCCTCACCTCTCTTCAAGGCCACATAGTTAATATTTGACCTGAAAGGGAGGGGAGAGGCCAGTGACTCCTCTGGCCCTGTCTCTGAGCATCTGATGAGATTGGGTAGGTCAGGCTTCCTCCACACCTAGCCCAGCTCAGGAAGCCTTCAGGAGCCACCTCAGAGATCAGGCCTGTTACAGGGCTCTGAGGAGGCCTGCCACCTACCCCCATCCCATTCCCAGCTGGTTGGCTTGAAGGAGGGTCCAGGTGTGGGAAAATCTCCGAGATATGCCAGGGGAGATGGCTAAGAGCTCAGGGATCCCATCGTTCACCTTTTCTATGTTGCTCATGTCTCAATTAACTGGACTTGCACACTGTAGGCTCCTGTACAGACGTTACACTCATGCAGCCAAGGGAGCCAGATACACCCCAATGCCTGTGAGTGCCTGTTTGCAGGTAAGGGCATGTGTAGATGCCTAGCCAGATGGTACAGTACAGACTCGAATGGGCAAGGCAGAGATGTGCACCCCCTCAGAGAGGAATGCTGAGAAGTGTCTAATTAAAGAGAAATTCCAGAGGGAGCTCTCAGGCCAGGGAAAAGAAGAAACAAAGGGAAAACAGGACAAAATAGACAAAGACCCATTAAATGTCTTTGCCCAGGCCTTCCTGCCTGAGACACCCCCACAGGCAGCAAGGGCAGCTGCTGCCCAGCTGGATCTCATTGTTGGGAGGAGAAGGCATTTTCCCTGAGAACACAAGCTCCACCAAGAAGGAGGCCTAGCTAAGTTTCTGACTTGGTTGAGAAGGACCTTTACCTTGGGTTTGGGTTGGGGGAAGTCAAGGGTCTGTAAAGAGGGTGAGTTCCACCCAACTTCCTGTGTCAGAATGACTGAGTCAATCCTCATGTGGGAGTTCTGTGGATGCTTGGCCTCCTCCCTTCAGTACTCCCTGAAGTCTGGGGTTAATGCCATCTACCTTCCACCCACATACAGATCAAAGGCCTTTTTTTTCCTGTTGTTGTTTTTTTCTTCAGAAACCAGACTTCAGAGAACCAGGACTAGCCCTGCTGTCAAGGCAGGGAAACCCTATCAGTGACCTACAACCCCTCTATGACCCCACAACTCACTTCCACCATGGAGTTTGTATTTGATGCAGACAGGCAGTATGTGATCCTCTGACCTCTTACCTGAGATTCCATGGCCACGCAACCCTATGATTCCATGTCCCCTCAATTCCAGGACCCTCCCTGGCCCCATGACCCCTGACCTTCCAAGTGACCTCCCTGGACCTTGACCCCTGTGACTATTCTTCCCATCATCCCCTTGACTCTGGCCCTGGCTCCCCTTGGGGGTCTTGGTGGTCTGGGCTTCCCCAGGAAGATGTGGGGGAGGCTCTGGCCCCTCCTCCTGAGTATCCTCACAGCAACTGCAGTCCCCGGACCCTCACCTCGAAGACCATCCAGAGAACTAGATGCCACCCCGCGGATAACTATCCCCTACGAAGGTTAGACCAACACCCTCAACCTCAAAAGGCAGCAGGAGCCAGGGCTGGGGGTGGAGAGGCAGCTCAAGAACCAGGCTCACAGCTCCTGCTCTCCCCAGAGCTCTCTGGGACCCGGCACTTCAAGGGCCCAGCCCAGAACTACTCAACACTGCTGCTGGAGGAGGCCTCAGCAAGGCTGCTGGTGGGAGCCCGGGGCGCCCTGTTCTCTCTCAATGCCCACGACATAGGAGATGGGGCTCACAAAGAGGTCAGCCCCTGGAACCTGGGCCACCCAAGGGGTCTCTAGCTTCAGCTCCCCCAGGACCTCAAATTCCTGGAAACCCTGCAGCCTTCCATAGCCCCCTGGTCAGACAGTGCCGCCCTTCCCAGCCCAGGTCCTTACACCCTATGTTCCTCCTGAAACTTACCCCCACCCCCATTTCCCTCATTCCCTGGAGTCCTATCACCTGGTCCCACAGATAATGGGAAAAGGCAAGGGTATTGGGGTCAGTACCTCAGCCTTTCTCCCCTTTTCCCCCTCTCCAGATCCACTGGGAGGCCTCCCCAGAGATGCAAAGCAAATGTCATCAGAAAGGGAAAAACAATCAGGTACGTGGTCTGCCCTGTCCCCAGCTCCTTTTGTCCTCCTCCTCAGTTGAGGAAGTCAGGTTGAGAACACAGATGGAGAGGTAACAATCAGCCAGTCAGTTGCAGCAACCACAATAAACTGTGTTACTAGAGTGGCAAGCCCCAGGCACAGCACTTCTAATCCAAACATCTGGTGACCTATTAGCTTGGTCTGCGATGGCATCTTAATTTCCTCTGGGCTCCCAAATAACAATCATGATAATAATAATTAATCTCTAGTAAGTGCTGACTTAGTTATTATTTAACCTAATTCTAAAATAACCCTGTGAAATTGTATTAGCCTCCATTTTTGAGATGAGAAAAATAAGGCTTTGGTCAAGGAATAGCTCAGGTGCCCAGTATCCCATGGAGGGGTGTTGGTGAAGTGCCAGCCCTCTCTGGCTAAAGAATCAGGGTGTCTGCAGAGGTCCCATGTCTAGCTTTGTAACAGATCCATCTGGAGAGCTTTTTAAAAATTCGCATTTCCAAGGTCTGCCAACCCAGGAATTCTGATTCAGGGGTAGTGTTGGGACAGCTGTGTTTAAAGAGGTGCCTCTTGCCCTGGCCAGTTTGGCTCAGCAGTTAGAGCATCAGCCCATGGACCAATGAGTCACGGGTTCAATTCTGGTCAAGGGCATGTACCTTGGTTGCAGTTTTCCCCCGACCCACTCTATCTGAAGATTAATGAAAAAGTATCCTTGGGTGAGGATTAAAAAAAAACAAAACACAGAGGTGCCTCTTGGAGATTCCATCAAAGGCTGCGTCCTGGTGCAGCATGGATAGGAAATGGGGCTGGGAGGCAGGTGGAGCCCAGATCATGAAGGGCTGTAAATGCCCAGCTGGGGGGTTGGATTTTATTCTGGGACAATGGACATCCTCACCATCTGATTCTTCCTTCCTTCCTTCCTTCCTTCCTTCCTTCCTTCCTTCCTTCCTTCCTTCCTTCCTCCCTCCCTCCCTCCCTCCCTCCCTCCCTCCCTCCTTCCTTCCTTCCTTCCTTTCCTCACCCGAGGACATTTTTTTCCATTTTTTTGTTCAGATAGAGTGGAAGGGAAAGAGAGAAAGAGAGAGAGAAACATCGATGTGAAAGGGACACATCGAGTGGCTGCCACCTGCACAACCCAACCAGGGCCAGGGACAAACTGCAACCAAGGTACATGCCCTTAGTGGAAATCGAACCAGGGTCTCTCAGGACCGCAGGCCGACGCTCTAACCGCTGAGCCAAACCGGCCAGGAACCATCTGATACTTTAAATACTCTTAAACTATAATGTGCATGTGAATCACCTGGGGATATTATAAATGCAGATGCTAACCCAGTAGGTCAGGGAAAGGCTCAAGAGCCTGCAATTCTAACACACTCCTAGGTAAAGCTGACACTGCTAGTCCCTGGACCAAAATTTGGGTAGATAGAACATTTCCTAAACCATGTTCTAAGGAACATTAATTTTCAAAAGAGGGATTTAATGTTGGGAAATGCTGCATGCTCAATCCCACAATGCACAGCAACACCCTTAAGGCTCTGAGAAATGCCCAGTAAAGGTAGGTTTTTGTTTTGTTTTGTCTTGTTTTTGCATTTATCTTCAGATAGAGCAGGAGAGAGGGAGGAAGAGAGAGAGAAATATCAATGTGAGAGAGACACATCGAGTGGTTGCCACCCTTACAACCCCAACTGGGGCTGGTGACAAACTGCAACCGAGGTACATGCCCTCAGCGGGAACCGAACCCGGGACTCTCTGGTCCGTGGGTCGATGCTCTAACCACTGAGCCAAACTGGCCAGGGCTAAAGGTAGGTTTTAATCTGTGGCTTCCAACCTATTTGACTACAGAAATCCTCCCTCCACTGCCCCCTTATTAATGTAAACATCTTGAGGAAACATTACTTACTATAGGAATATTTATCCAGCCCCAGGCACTAGAAGGATTAAAATGGAGTGAGTCTGGAGGCAGGAAAGGCAGTGGGGAGGTTGGGGGCATGGTGTGGGTCAGAGGAGGGAGGCCTGATCAGGCTGGTGAAGAGGAGGAATGGGTGCCAAAGTACTACACCCAGTGAGGGAGCTGGATGAGACAAAGGCCTGCATGGATTCAAACCCTGGGTAATAGGCTGGAGGAGGAATCATTAACAAGGCAAAGAAGTCAAGAGGGCAGCAGCTTAAGGCATTTGATGGGCAGAGAAGGCCAGGGCCGGTGTGGCTGAAGTAGTGTGAGTGAGGCTAGAGTAATGGGCAGGGCCAGCAGTATGTTAGACCCTATGTTCAGGACTCTAGTGAGCCACTGAAGGGTTTTTAAATATAGCAGTGACATGATCTGGTTTACATTTTTTAGAATGCCTTGGAAAGTGTGTTGCAAGAGTATGCTGATTGATAGAATATCTGTGGAAGGAAACTCCAGACAATGGTAACAGCAGTCTCCTTTGAAGGCAACAAGGATAAAAAGGAGACTCTGTTTATAACAAAATCCTTTGTGCCTTTTTAATTATGGTGGAGGGTTGGGAGAGCTCTTAGGTGGTTGCTGCAGTGGTTCAGGGAAGAGGTGATGGTGGTAATTTAGACTAGGGTGGAGGGGAAGTGGACCAAGTCAAGAGATGCTTAGGACAAAGAGACATTTAATCAGGGAGCAGGACTGAATGTGGGGGTGAGTTAATGGGAAACAGCAATGATGACTCCTGGTTTCTGGACTGAGTGGGATGCACAGAGGGAGACTGGATGAACAGGTTTAGGAGGAAAGATTCAGGTTAGGAAGGAGGGGATGAGCTTGCTTTCTGACAAGGTGAGTTTGATGTGTCTGGGATATCAGGTGGCGAGAGAGCTGGAGCCTGAAGATAGGTTTTGTAGTGTCACCCAGAGGGTGTGGGAGCTCCAGGACTGGGGAGCATTGCTGAGGAGATGTGAGAGAAGCACGTTAGGTGGTGAGAGCCTGAGAGCACTTGAACTGAAGGTGCAGGAGGTGCAGGAGAAGCTGGCAGAGTATAGCATGTAATCTAAGAGACAGAGGAGAAGAGAGGAGTCATGCCACGGGGAGGCCACAGATTAGTGAGGTCCAGGGAATATTCTATCCTCTGGGCAGTGAGAAAGCCCACTAGGATCTTGGAAAGCACTGTGTGTCCTGTGAGTGGGGGTAAGAGCCAGACTACAAGCTGGACTAATGGAAGAGGCCTCTAAGGAGGCCTGGGGCTCACAATCCTCCCCCATCTATCCCACAGACCGAGTGCTTCAACCATGTGCGATTCCTACAGCGGCTCAATGCCACCCACCTCTACGCATGTGGGACGCATGCCTTCCAGCCCCTCTGTGTAGCCATTGTGAGTATGCCTGCCCCAGCCCTGATCACTGGTCCCTGACCCAGACTGGTCTGACCTTGGGCCCCTGCCTGCCCTTGGAACCACTGCCTTATTAACTCATTCCCCAGGATGCTGATGCCTTCACCTTACCAACCAGCTTCGAGGAGGGGAAGGAGAAGTGTCCTTATGACCCAGCCCGTGGCTTCACAGGCCTCATCATCGGTGAGCGTGCCCTCTTCCCCACTCCAGTCCCTCATCCACAAGCATGTTGTGTGAGTGACATAGATGTCATTGAAAGGACTTGCCACCATGCGTGTTCTGTGCCTTGTGACATGTCTCATGCCTGGCTGGCATGTCCCTGCCCCAGATGGAGGCCTCTACACAGCCACACGGTATGAATTCCGGAGCATTCCTGACATCCGCAGGAGCCGCCACCCGCACTCCCTGAGGACTGAGGAGGCACCCATGCACTGGCTCAATGGTTAGGAGGATGAGGCACAGGATGATGGGGGGCAGGGGACTATTTCTTCATCTTTACTCCCTTGGGAAGTTGACCATCCTATTCCCAAATCCCCAGGTGAGCCTGCCTATTCCTGTGTATTTTTGAGTGAGGGGTTGGGGCTGGGGGGAGAGATACCCAGCCTGTCTCAGAAGCCACCTGAACTGCCCGACCCACAGATGCCGAGTTTGTGTTCTCTGTCCTGGTGCGAGAGAGCAAGGCTAGCGCGGTGGGTGATGATGACAAGGTTTACTACTTCTTCACGGAGCGTGCAGCTGAGGAGGGCTCTGGCAGCTTTGCTCAGAGCCGCAGCAGCCACCGTGTGGCCCGTGTGGCCCGTGTGTGCAAGGTGAGTAGGACTGAGGTCGGGGAAAGGGTATAAAGGCTAAACCGCTGACCCTGGCCCATGACTCCATGCCCCTACCTCCCCAGGGAGATCTCGGAGGGAGGAAGATACTGCAGAAGAAGTGGACCTCCTTCTTAAAGGCGCGTCTCATCTGCCACATTCCACAGTATGAGACACTACGTGGTGTCTGCAGCCTGGACGCTGACACCTCCGCCCGCACACACTTCTATGCAGCCTTCACGCTGACCACACAGTGGTCAGTGCAGGGACAGTGGGGAGGCAAGAAACTGGGGACAGCATAGGGGCTGGAGCAGAGGTCAGTGAGGATGAGACAGAATCAACTGTGGGGAGGGCTGGCTGCAGAGAGAGAATTTCAAGCATATCCAGCTAGCCTGAGACCAGAGACCACAGTGGCCTACTAACCCACTATGGGCCTGGAGCTAGGGTTGACCAGGGTAACATTGGGCTACAGGCTGGGCAAGTGGCAGGTAGGCAGGCTCCACTCAGTGTGACTCAGTCCTCTCTCCTATGTATTATCCCTAGGAAGACCCTGGAGGCCTCAGCCATCTGCCGCTATGACCTGAATGAGGTGCAAGCTGTTTTTGCAGGCCCCTACATGGAATACCAGGATGGTGTCCGGCGCTGGGGCCGCTACGAGGGTGGGGTGCCAGAGCCCCGGCCTGGCTCCGTGAGTGCTCAGTAGACAGAACCCCTGGGAGGGACGGGAGGGTCTGGCCTTGTTGGGAGGACAAGCAGGAGGACAGAACCCCTGGGAGGAGTAGGATCCTTGTGGGGAGTCCTGAGGTTCACCACCCCTGTCCCCCACCCCAGTGCATCACAGATTCATTGCGCAGCCAAGGCTACAACTCATCCCAGGACTTGCCGTCACTGGTCCTGGACTTTGTGAAGTTGCACCCACTGATGGCTCGGCCCGTGGTGCCCACACGTGGACGGCCCTTGCTGCTCAAGCGCAGTGTACGCTACACACACCTCACAGGGACACCTGTCACTACGCCTGCTGGACCCACCTATGACCTGCTCTTTCTGGGCACAGGTACTTCTGACCCCTGGCCTGAGCCCTCTAAAGACTGCTGACCTGTCCTTTGATCCCTGCTGACCTCTAGCCCCTTGATAACTCTTGGTCACAAAACCCTGGTGACTATTGATGTTGATTCTTCAATGAACACTCACTATTGGTCCCCAGTGAACACTGGGTCTTGGTGACTGCTAACTCCTGTCACCAACCACAGTGGGATCAAATTCCCAATCACTAATGCTTCTGAAATAAATTAATTCCTGCCATGACACACCCAGAGTTCCCAATGTCCCGAGGTCCCAATGTTACTGGCTGAATCCTGTCCCTGACCTCATCACTCCCAAGCTGGTCCCATTAGGCTATTGCAGAGGTCCAAGAGCAGATTCCATTGCTGGGGTCTGACCCTCTGCCCTTTCCACACCAGCTGATGGCTGGATCCACAAGGCCGTGGTCCTTGGCTCTGGGATGCACATTATCGAAGAGACACAAGTGTTCAAGGAGCCCCAATCTGTGGAGAATCTGGTCATCTCTCTGATGCAGGTAACCTGACTCGTGACCTCAATATGGTCTTGCCAGAATAGGGGGAGGAACTGGGGAGGCTGGGCATTGGCTGTGTATGTGTCTGTATGTGGGAGTGGGGGTATTGCTAACCAGCTGTCCTCTCTGGCACCCAGCATAGCCTCTATGTAGGGGCCCCTAGTGGAGTGATCCAGTTACCATTGTTCAGCTGCTCCCGCTATCGCTCCTGCTATGACTGCATCCTGGCCCGGGACCCTTACTGCGGCTGGGACTCCAGCACCCATGCCTGCATGGAGGCCACCACCATAGCTAACAGGTCTCAGGGTAGCAGATGGGAAGTGGTGGGGGATGTGAGGGTCCCATGTGCCCAGGGAACTCAGGGCCTGAGGGGAGGAGGAAGGCCTGCCAGCTGTAGGGGGAGTGGGAGCAAGTTGTTGGGAATAGCCCTACTGACTCTTCCACTGGGGAAACTGAAGCCCAGTTCCCCTTGTTCATGAGTCCTGATCTTCTGTCTCCAGGACAGCACTGATACAGGACATAGAGAGAGGAAACCGAGGTTGTGAGGGCAACAGGGACACAAGTAAGTGACATTTATGGATGTGTGTGGTCTGGCTGCATAGCCTGTCCTCTTTACCATTTACTGTCATTTGTATGCACATGTGTGTATCTGAATGGCTGAGTCTGTGTGCTTTCAGATTCTGGCACAGAGTACATGCTCAACAAACATTTGTTGCCCAAAAGAATTATAAATGAGGAAACAGGTTCACTTTTGGAACTTACAGCCAAGGGGGTGGCTGGCAATCACACTATCACACAGTTAATTGTCTCCATTGTTTTTTGTTACAAAAGAAATAACTCCAACAATGACAAGCATTTGAAGGATAATGGGTAGTTCCCAAACAAGATCAGATGACTGAGGTGATACCCAAAGAGCAAACTTTAATAATCATAACTAATATGTACTGAGTACTGATCAAACACTCACATGCACAATCTCATTTATTCTCACAGCATTCCTATAAGAGAGATCCTATTATCATCATTCCCGTGAGAGGCAACCTCTCTGAGGCACAGGGAGAATAAGTAAACTGTCCAAAGTTAATCAGGTATTAAGTGGCAGGGTCAGAATTCGAACCTGGACCCCAGCAGTCAGACTGGAGTTTATGCTTTTGATCACTGCTCTGCTCTCTCCCCCACCAAGTTAACCAGGCAAGAGGGGGCTATAGAGAGGGGGATGACACCAAAGCAGAGGGAACAGTAGGCAGAACACGTTTGGTGTGTTTAAGCAACAAAAGAGGCTGGAGAAGTGGGCAGGGACCATGTTCAGGCAGAGGAGTGGCATGATTAGCTGAGTGTTTTTGAAAGGTCACCCACTGCTGCATGAAGAATGGGTTAGATGCAGACGAGAGCAGGCCAGCAGTTGAGGAAGGAGAGAAGTGAACAGGTCTGAGAAAGATTCTAGAAGCAGGATCTTGGTGGGGGTTAGATACAAAGGTTGGGGGTGGGGTGGGGAGCAGTGAGAGGTAAGGGAGGCTCCCAGGTTTCTGACTTAAGCACCTGAGTAGCTGGTGGTGCTATGCACAGTGATGACAATTCAAGGAAAAGACCTGGTGTAGCTTGGGAGGGAGGCTTTAGCCTTAGTTCCTGTGACAAGAGACCTCATGTTGATGCCCAGCATGTCGAAGATACTCAAGTCTGACGCTCAGGAGAGAACTCTGTGCTGGAGGTAGAGATTAGGCATCAGTGGCAGATGGCAGGAATTGAAACCACAGGGAAGGGCCAATGTGAACCTTCTGTGTGAGCATAAACGCAGAGAGCTCGGCCAGTTGTCACTGTGATTCCAGATTCTGTGCTTGGTGCTGAGGACATAGCAGTGAGCCATCTGGCTTACCATCCCCAATGTCTTCCCTAGGATTGGCAGGCAATGACTGCTCCTCCTCCTGTCCCCCACTCTCTCCAGGGCCACCACCACTAACAAAGACCCGCTCTGTGCTTCGGGGTGATGATGTCCTCCTGCCTTGTGACCAGCCATCCAACCTGGCCCGGGCCTTGTGGCTGCTCAATGGGAGCACTGGCCTGAGCGATGGACAGGGTGGCTACCGTGTAGGTGTGGATGGGCTGCTGGTGACAGACACACAACCTGAGCATAGTGGCAACTATGGCTGCTACGCTGAGGAGAATGGTCTCCGCACCCTGCTGACCTCCTACAGCCTCACAGTGCGACCAGCTACTCCTGCCCCAGCTCCACAAGCCCCTGCCATGCCTGGGGCACAACTGGCACCTGATGTGAGGCTGCTCTATGTGTTAGCCATTGCTGCACTTGGTGGCCTCTGCCTCATCCTGGCTTCATCCCTCCTCTATGTGGCCTGTCTTCGGGGAGGCAGACAAAGGCACCGACGGAAATACTCACTGGGTCGGGCTGGCAGGGCCGGGGGCTCTGCTGTGCAGCTGCAGACAATCTCAGGCCAGTGTCCTGGGGAGGAAGATGAGGGTGACGATGGGGAAGGGGTTGGGGGCCTGGAGAGTGGCTGTCTCCAGATCATTCCAGGGGAAGGAGCCCCAGCCCCACCTCCTCCACCACCCCCACCGCCACCGGCTGAGCTGACCAATGGGCTGGTAGCACTGCCCAGCCGGCTGCGCAGAATGAATGGCAACAGCTATGTGCTCCTGAGGCAGAGCAACAATGGAGTGCCCGCAGGGCCCTGCTCCTTCGCGGAGGAGCTCAGCCGCATCCTGGAGAAGAGGAAGCACACGCAGCTCGTGGAGCATCTGGATGAGAGCTCTGTCTGAGCCCAGCCTCCCAGGACAAATGCTCTTCCAAGCCAGCCTATCTGTCCCAGGCTGGGCCGCTGCCTCCCAACACAGCCACCCTACCTTGACCCTCCAACTCCAGGCCCTTCCAACATTTGATGTCCCTATAGGGCTGGCCAGAGTCAGGTCCAGCCAAAGTCCCCTCCTCAGTCTCCACAGACCCATCTGTGAGCAGCCCAGGCCAACCGGTTCTCATCAGAGGTAGGTGCTCCCTCAGGTTCTTCAGCCCCGGCTCTGGTTCCTATTCTCTTAACCTAAGCACTTGGGAAGAGAGGACCCCATCCTCCTGCCCCATTCATCTGCTCAAACCCTTCCCCTTTCTCCTAGGCAGGGCTTGCAGGTCCAGATGGCCTCAATGTCACCATCCTCTGCATCGCTCCATGTGCTGGATGGTTCTGACACCAGACAAGACCTCTGTCAGCCAAGAGAGCCACCTGAGTCCTGCATACATTCACATGCACACATGGAAGAATATCTATCAGCTGGGCTGGGGGCTCCCTGTTCCTACCTTCTGGTGCATTATTTCACCCCTTTTCCTGGACTTTGGGTACCCTCCCAATTGCCACATCCCATCCTATCTAGTCCTCATTCCTAGTCCCAGCCCCCTATGGTGACCTCTTTGTAAAGAACTTGGGAACAGGCCAGTAGTGGGAGGTAAGACTGCATCATTCCCCTCTTCTTCTCCCTTAATGTACAGCCCTTATGAGTCAACCCCCTCATCCCCTTGGTCACTCTCAAGAGTGACAAGAGGCAGAGTTCTAGGCATGTTCCTCACATACATAGGCTTACATTTCCACTCACATGCACCTTATGAGTCTTCTCTTGCTGCCTCAGACCTATCAGGTTTGGTCCATGGGCATTTCAGAAAGCCCTCTCCGGTTTAGCTGTCCTTGCAGACACTTCCCTAGGACGGGTGACCCATACTGCACTCAATGAGCCAGCCTCCCTTTGGGGGACCAAGCATTTGCTACCCCTAGACTAGAGCAGGAGGAAGAAAGATCTGATGTCTCACCTGGCACATGAAGCCCGTTCTTGGAACTATGCAAAGGGCAGAGGCTGGGAGTTTGGATGCTTGGCTCCCACCCCTGTCCTACCTCACCGGGGCATTTTCAGGGTCCAGGGGCCTCTGAAGTCTCCAGGCCCATATGGGACAATCAAATCCTGACTGAGCTCTCCCATTCCCTTGGGTGAGGATGACTGTTATTTTTGTAGCTGAGAACGTGGAATCCCACGGATTTTTACTGCCCTTCACCCATCCTCTCCCATCCTCTCCCCAACAATGAATGTATTTATTGTGAAATGGCTACACTTCTTTAGGAATGCCCCCACTCATCACCAGGTGGGTGGAACGGACATGTGATAGTGAGGAGCCTGGGCTCAGCTCCTCTACCCCATTGGTTAATAAATAACCCTCTTCTCCCCATGGCTATGAGTAGTCTGCTTGGTCTAAACTGGCCTTCCCCTAATCATCAGGGGACAGGCTTCTGAGCCTATGGAAAAGGTGCTGTAAGGTTGGTTCTGCTCCCCATAAAACCATTTGCAGAGGACATTGGGATCCTGAGCTTCCATCCTGGCTGCCCAGGGCAGGTATAAGGGCCTTTGTTAAGGCTCTCACTATTCATTGATCATGGGGATAAGCATGACAAAAGTACAGTGGGTCAAGAATTCACACACAGGTTTCTAGGTTTTTACCTCCTGGCTCTTCACCACTCTCCCCCCAACTCCCACCCCTGTTTTTTTGTTTTTTTTTTAGCTAAGTCCCTAGAAGATGCTGCCCATTTATCAGCCAGCCTGAGAATCACCCTCTCCAAGGGTCAGGCCTAGATGAACTACATGGCCTTTGACATTAAGCATTCTGGTTTTATGATAATGAAAAGTAGGGTTATACTTAAAACATGCACATATTCTGAAGACCTCAAATATGACTGTGAACAAGTTTATTAACCTGTTTTCTAATTTGTACACATTCACACAACCTAGCCCAATGCCAGGTTCACAGCAAAGGTGATAGCTCTCTCTAGCTCAGTGGTTGCAGAAATAGGACATCAGGGCCCTGGCAGGTGTGGATCAGATGGCTAAGCGTCATCCCATGCACCAAGAGGTCGCTGGTTCCATTCCTGGTAGAGGCACACGCCTGGGTTTCAGGTTTATCCCCAATAGGGAGCCTGCAGGAGACAGCAAATGGATGTTTCTTTCTCTCTCCCCACTCTCTTTAAAATAAAAAAAAAATATTAGAAAAAAAAAAAGAAAAAGGACATCAGGGATTCTTGAGAAGCCAGTCTTGAAACACTTCAAACCCTTCCTTTGATATCACTAGTATCAATTTGAATTTCAGAAAGGAGTACCCGGTAAGATCCCAGAAGGCTCTCAGGTTTCAGGAATGTCAACTGGATAAGAATTAAGAGACAAAGTCAATGCCCCTCACAGTGGGCACCAAAAATAGGCAGCTCTTCTTTATCCCAAGCAAAAGTTTTGGCATCAACTTGCCCTTTCAAGGGCTCCATCTGTCTGCCTGGACTTGTAATCCCCTGAATCGAAATAGAAAGATCCACCTTCATTGGGGTTGGAGTTGGAGCAACCGTTCAGTGCGTTTGCACCTGGGCTGGGGCAGGATCCTGGACCTCTCGGGGGCGCAGTCCGCCCCACGTTGTCGGTTTATTGGTGAAGGGGTGCCACTGGCCCTGGATGCTAGGACTGTCCGTGTGGAAGGGCTTGCGGATGCGGATTATGTCCAAGCCCGACTGGTTTGCTAGCTTCTGCACCAGCGTCGTGATCTCCTCCACCGACTTGCAGTTAATGGTCTCCTCGCGCACAGCCCCGTTAACTGGCAGAAGGAAGATGGGGGTGAGAGGGGGCGGGCCCGTCAGACAACAGACCGGACGACGGAAACAGGCCTACCCACCCCAGCTCCGCAGCCCGCCTTCCAGCCACGGCCCGGCTCCACTCACGGTATTCGGCCACGATTCTGGGCACAGAACACGGCCGTGGGTTCACGTATATTACGACCCCTGGGTTCTGTCGGGCGAAGTCGGCCACCTCCCGTTCCACGAACTCCCTAAGGAACCCGAGAAAGGTGAGCACGGTGACCCCGGACCCGGCGCCCTCGGCACGGAGTCGCACCCCGCACCCTTCGCCGGCTCACCTGGCGCCGCGGGACGAGGGCGCGTCGCGGCTGAGGCTGAAGCTGAGACGCTGCAGCTGCTGCACGTAGCGACCGAGCCCGTTGTGGAGAACACTGGTCAGGAAGCGGCTCGGAGTCCCGCGCGCCGTCATGGCTCCAGCTCCCAGGCCGCTGCGTCTGGTCTCCAGGGGAGGGGGCGGGACTAACACCAGGCTTCCGGTTCCGGGGACACGAGCCGCGGAGAGTTTTGATTCCGAGGTCCTGGCGGGTGGCGCGTGCGAGTGACCCACGTTGCGAGCGAAAGTCGTGAGACGAGAGTGGTGACACGCTGCCTGGGTCGGGACGGCGGGGAGCTGCGAGCCGGGCGGAGGGAAGATACGCGACGGATGGAGAGGTGGCGCGGAGAGGGACGGGAGCCGCCGAGTGGAGCCCTAGTGGTGCCGAGCCCCCTTTGAGGGAAGGAGCAGCGAAGAGGACCACTAGTTGGGGATCTAGAGCAGAGGGGCTACAGAAAGGACGCAGAGGACAGCAGAGATAAGGACGACGAAGAGACCCCGTGGAGGGCTGTAGTGGTGGAGAGACGATCTGGAGAAACCATAATCGGTGAGGTGCTGCGATGGGAGAAGCTGTAAAGGACCAGAGCGGTAGGGAGCCAGAGAGAGGGACAGAGATGTGAGAGGGTCGTGCAGATGGGCTTTGATGAAAGTAACAATGTAGAAGGGCTGAAGAGGATTCAGGAAGATGTTTATGAGGGATAAGTTTGAAGAAAGAGAGAAGCCACCCAGCGTGAGCTCTTAAGAGTGGAAGATCCCTGGGGTCTGACCTAGTGAAGGCTCCTGAACCAGACATTTGAAGTAGGGACTTCCTCCATTTGACTTGGAATGTGGGTCCTTCTCCGAAGTGGGTACCCCTTCCGTATCCTGCTGTCCCTTCGTGGAAAGTGGATGGGTCGGAGGGGCCTGCCTCGCAGCTTGGTCCCAGGCCCTCCTCGAAGACGATACAGGAAGGAGGCTCTCCCTGCCTTGGAGGCACCAGTGTTGCCTGTAACTGTAACTGAAATCCGCCAATATTTGCGGGCACATGGGATTCCCTTCCAGGATGGCCACAGCTGCCTGCAGGCACCCAGCCCCTTTCTGGGGGACTCGCAGCTCAAGGACCAGACTGGTGCTACCAGTTCCTTCAGCCTCTACATTAACAAGACCACAGGCCGCTTTCTCTGCATGACCAGCCTAGCAGAGGGGAGCTGGGAAGACTTCCAGGCCAGTGTGGAAGGGCGCCGGGATGGAGATAGAGAGGGGATCCTGTTTAGTGAAACCCCAGGAGCTGAAGACAGTGAGGAGATCCGGAGGATCTGGGACCGAGCAATACCTCTCTGGGAGCTGCCTGAGCCAGAGGAAGCCCAGCTGGCTCGTGTGATGTTTGGCCTTACCAAAGTGGCAGATGACACACTCAAGCGTTTCAGTGTGCGGTATCTGCGACCTGCTCGAAGCCTTGTCTTCCCTTGGTTCTCCCCTGGAGGTTTGGGATTACGAGGCCTGAAGCTCCTAGGGGCTGAAGGCCAAGGGGATGGAGTGCACTATGTGGAGACCACCATTCCTCGGCCTGGTGCCTACCACAATCTGTTTGGATTACCGCTGATCAGTCGTCGAGATGTTGAGGTGGTACTGACAAGTCGTGAGCTAGATAGCCTGGCCTTAAACCAATCCACAGGACTGCCCACTCTTGCCCTTCCCCGAGGAACGACCTGCTTACCCCCTGCCTTGCTCCCTTACCTTGAACAGTTCCGACGCATTGTGCTCTGGCTGGGGGATGACCTTCGGTCCTGGGAAGCTGCCAAGTTGTTTGCCCGAAAACTGAACCCCAAGCGATGCTCCTTGGTGCGACCTGGGGACCAACATCCCCGTCCCCTGGAGGCCGTAAACAAGGGCTTAAATCTTTTTCGAATTCTTCGTTCTGCCCTGCCCGCTTGGCACAAGTCCATCGTGTCTTTCCGGCAGCTTAGGGAAGAGGTACTAGGAGAACTGTCAAATGTGGAGCAGGTAGCTGGCGTTCGCTGGAGCCGCTTCCCGGACCTCAATCGTCTCTTGAAGGGACATCGGAAGGGCGAGCTGACAGTCTTTACAGGTTACCCTTTGGGAAATCACTGCTTGGGGTGGTGGCAGAGGATAAGGTGACAAAAGTATGTGGGTTTGGGCCACTGTAAAATTTGAAGAGAAGGCTTTCCCTCCCAACTTTGAAGCCCTGCTCCATGTCTTGTTTTCAAGAGTAGGACTTTTCTCCCTCACCCAGAACTATGTTCAACCCCCTTGCAGGGCCAACAGGCAGTGGAAAGACAACATTCATCAGTGAATATGCCCTGGATTTATGTACCCAGGGAGTGAACACACTATGGGGTAGCTTTGAGATCAGCAACGTGAGACTAGCCCGGATCATGCTGACACAGTTTGCTGTGGGGCGGCTGGAAGAGCAACTGGACAGATACGACGAGTGGGCCGACCGCTTTGAGGACCTGCCCCTCTATTTTATGACTTTCCATGGGCAACAGAGCATCAGGTTAGATTTCCAGGCCTGGGCTTTTCAAAGAATGGGAGGGCAGGAGAACAGATCCTCAACAGAGTTCTTAGGATGCTGGTTTTCTGCCTGCGATGGACAGGAGACTACTTGTAATTGACTCTTGAATTCATTGCCTTTTCCTCTTCCCAGGACTGTAATAGACACAATGCAGCATGCAGTCTATGTCTATGACATTTGTCACGTGGTCATTGACAATCTGCAGTTCATGATGGGTCACGAGCAGCTGTCCACAGACAGGTGACATCTTCTTCTCTAGCTGAACTCACTTGAACACACATGTCTTTTCAGGCAGCTGGCCCCTAGGCACATACACTCTACTCTCTTGTTTTCTGATACGTGTGCAGACGTATCCCACCCATGTGTATTTCTGTCTTTATAAAGGTGTGGGGTGTGGCAGCAGGAAACTAAGTCCTTGGTTAAAGGGAAGTAGAGTGGGGTTGTGTGCTTTGTGGAGATGTGACTGAATCAAGAGTTATGTGTATATTCTTGTCCTTCTGTCTGTGTCTGATAACCTCTTTGCTTTGTTTGGGTGGGGACAGGATTGCAGCTCAAGACTACATCGTTGGGGCCTTTCGGAAGTTTGCGACAGACAGTAGTTGCCATGTGACACTGGTCATTCATCCCCGGAAGGAGGATGATGATAAGGAACTGCAGACAGCATCCATTTTTGGCTCAGCCAAAGTAAGTGACCTTTAGAGGAGCCCAAGCTCTAGAAAGTAGAGGAGGCAGGTGTGTCCAGGCATAGCCCTCAGTCAGCCTTACTTAACTCTTGACTTCAGCTGGAAGAGGCAGCTGGGGCCATGATACGAGGAATACAAATGCTGATAATTGTTGGTCCTTTGCCCTCCTCACCCTCCAGGAGCTCACATCCTCTCATTGTGGAATACAATGAGACAGTGATTACAACTCAGTGTGGTAAAAGCTATGCCAGGTAGCACAGGTATTTGGAGAGCAAAGAGAAAGACATCTGAGTCATCCTGGGGCATCTGGGGAGACTTCCTAGAGGAGGTGTCAGCAAAGGTTGGGTTGAGTTCTGCCCTTTTGGCCAACAGAAAGTGTTTAATAACTAAATGGGAGGGCCTTCTGGGCAGCAGGAGCAGCCTAATCCTGGAGCTTCCTGTGGTACACTGAATGCCTTTACATGCCAGGCCTGGGCTGGGCACAGGGAATACAGGGTGAGGAGCACAGACTGTGTGCCACAATGGAACAAATATGGAACTAGGGAAGGGCATAACACGGAAGTGGAAAGATAGTAGTGCCTTCTTTATTTTTAGGGATCAAGAATGGTCTCTGATGAAATGTGACATTTAGACTGAGACCTCAGTGATAAGAAGCTGGGTTGAGTCGGGTGGTGAGCTGTGCAGGAGAAGTGTTACAAGCAGAGGGAATAGCAGGTACAAAATCTGGGGATGGTAGTAGCAAGATTGTTAAGGAACTGAAAAACTCAAGTGGCCCCAGCATCATGGTCAATAGTTCATAGAGCTTTGATGAAAAGGGACGTACTTTTTCCTTTTCCCATTCTTGCCACTTCTCCCTGAACCCTCAACCTTCCTTTTTTTGCTCTCTCATATGTATTTTCACTGCTCCTTCATCTTCTGTTCCCTGCCCCTCAGGCAAGCCAGGAAGCGGACAATGTTCTGATCCTGCAGGACAGGAAGCTGGTAACTGGGCCAGGGAAACGATATCTGCAGGTGTCCAAGAACCGTTTTGATGGAGACGTAGGTGTCTTCCCACTTGAATTCAACAAGAACTCTCTCACCTTCTCCATACCACCAAAAAGCAAGGCCCGGCTCAAGAAGATCAAGGACGACAATGGGCTAGAGGCCAAAAAGCCCTCGTCTGGCAAAAAGGGGGCTGTGTCCCAGAACTCTAAGACTTGCTCGGGTGAAGCCCCCAACCCCTACCAGCCAGACCCCTCCAAACTTTCAAGGTGAAGAAGGTACAGAGCCTGACACTGGAACAAGCCTGACAGGACAGGCTGGGGCATAGACTTTTTCTTTATGCTAGGACTGCCTTTGTCCTGTGGTTTTAAGCTATGGGCCCTTCTCAGTCTGAGAGGCATAGCGTAGCCTAGGACAGGGTTTCTTAGTGAGAGAATTCAATTTAGCAGATATTTGAGAACCTGCTGTGTGCCAGGCTTTGTTCTAGGTCTTGGGACTACAGTACGACAAGACAGATGAGGTCCTTGCTTCCACGGAAAATGCAGTCTGGTAGGGGGACAAGACAAGCTAATGGATAAACACAAAACATAATTTTAGTTAGTGAAAAATGCTATTTGAAAAATAAAATAGTAATGCGATAGTGTTCACAGGCTAGTTGAGATTAAGGTCTGAAAAGGGGTCTTTGAGCAGAGGACATTTGCACTGGGACCTAAAGAACTAGTAGTGAGCCATGTGAACATCTGGAGAAAGGGATCCAGGCAGAAGGAAAAGTAAATATAGAGGCCTTGAGGTGGGAATGAGCAGGTTGAGTTAAAAGCTGTGGAGTCAGGCCCCCTGAACCTGGAGAATAGGAGACTTCTTGCCAAAATTCTAGCCTAGGCTTTCGGAACCAAAGGGTGGCATGGTGGGTACCAAGCTCCTCTGTTCCCCACTCTGGAACTTCCTATGTGGTGGCATTCACTG